TTCAGAACCCCCTTCCCCTCCCCCATTTCTGAAGAAGGGTCTCGACCTGAAACGTCAGCTTTCCTGCTCCTCTGAAGCTGCTTGGCCTGCTGTGTTCATCCAGCTCTACACCTTGTTATCTCAGATTCTCCAGCATCTGCAGTTCCTACTATCTCTGAGTTTTTTCTGTTCTTAGCTTACATTTTCGGGATCTGCAGCGTTTTAATTTCCATATTTTCCACTGTTGCATTTTTTTTTAAGCTTATCATCAAACACTGACTCAACACTGAGACCATCCTTCGTGCGCAGCTCACCACAATGAAAAGATCCATCGCATGTTCACAGTCGGGCGGCACCACCCGTCTATTCCCTGTCCTCATTGGCCCAATGTAGATGCCAATCAATCAAGCTTGTTGTCAAGCTGCAGGAACCACGCCGGCAGCTAAACCCCTCCTTCATCCGTTGCTGATTGGACGAACTACCCACTACCAACCCCTTTCCGTACCATTGCCCATTGCTCAGACGTCAGGAGGTGAAGGGCGGCGCAGCAGTTCGTGAGTGACACGGACCACACTCTCAAAGCCCTCGCGCCGCTTACTCTTCTCTGATTGGCAGCTGCTTGTAGTCCCCACCCGCACTAAGTAACGGTTGGGGAGGAGGCGGGGCGGGCGCGCGAGGGTTTGTGCTCATTGGTTCTGATTGCTGTCAGTAGAAGCAGCCCAGATTACTACCCTCCCCCACCCCTTCAGCGGCTGCTGTTAATTCAAGCTATTACGTGAGAGGAAGGGTACTATCTCTGTATATCTGCTTTCCCCCTTTTTACAAGGTTGGGTGAGGTTTTTTTTAAACCTCCCTCCCTTCCCAACCACATCTTTTATCATTACAGGAGATGGGAAGGGAGAGGAGACACACATATCCATCCGGGCTCCTGATTCACTGACACTCCATCATCAAGGGATTGTGGACTGATAGAGGGAAGAGGCATTAAAAAAGAGAGGAAAAAAATTCTGAAGGGGAAAATAAATAACAGCACTTAACACTGACTGGGAGAGGACACAACAGGTACCGTCTGTCTATCTATCAGCTTCTGCTGTGGGAACATTGTGGCTGTGTTTGTTGATAAACTTCTGTTGTCAGGCATGCAAGGATCAAGGGTGGTGGGGGATTTTTGGTGGATTGAAGGGACTACATTTTTTTTCCTACTAAAGCGTTGGATAGATCAGATATCGTTCTGAAATGGAGAAATGTCCTTTTCAGGGGCTTGTCAGGTGATCTAGTGTGAAAGAACGGACGATGCCATTCTGCGATCTGGAAGATAGCGTTGAGGGAGTTTGGCCAGGTATTTGCTATGCATGGAAATGGTCGCTGAGTAATAAATTTTATAGGATTGCTGTTTACCCCAGGAAACGAGACTGAGGAAATTGGCGTTTAGTGTCCGTGGAAGAAGGGGTTGCTAGCATATTCAGTGATCTGTTGAATGTGATTAAGGGAGGTTGTCGATGGTTGTATAAGGAGAGTTGCCAGGTGTGGCTGTGTCGAAAGGATCTTCCACCAATGTAAAGGATGAAGTTAATGCAACATTCTTCACAAAACTTGTGATTCAGCTATCTAAAACACATTCGTTTTGCTTACCTCCCTTGATGTCATGAAGGCGTTGACCCCTTGTTGAATATGCAGATCCAAAAGCACCAATAATTCTGCTTCTCCACGAAAGTGTTCATTAATCACATGTTCCTAATGTAATTTTCTTTCCTTTAACCCTGAGTCGCTTTCATGGAATCATTTCATACGTTTAAGAATTGAGGTAGTTTGTCCATACGCTTACAATGCATGGAAAGGTACGTTGATGATGTTAACAATGTATCAGGGATTTATATTTCAATATCATTGGGTAATATTAAGAGACTTCATTAGCGCCAGTTTAAAAGATTAGGAGTCATGGTGTTTGGAGGAGTTGATTTAAAAGACATAAGGAGACAAAATTATATTAACTATACACAGGATTGTTGTAATGGGGAGAGCTGGAAATTTGTTAAATCTGAGGAAAACTGGTCAAGATTTATTGTAGATATGTTTTTCCTTTGGTGTCCAGGCTACAGGATTCAGTAAACCTCTGTTAATCAAATATTTTCAAAAATTAGAAAGCATGCTTCTGTTGATGTTTATTCAATGATCTGCTGTTTAGTATGTTACTTATTAACCATAAGTAGCTAATTGATTGAAATAAATGAGTAAAAAGAAGTGCAACTATTGAACACGTGACCACTATTCATTCTCATGGCATGTGTGTGTGAACAGTTAGTGTCATACAGACTCTTTGGCCCAACAAGTCCATGCTGCACGTAATCCCAAACTAAACTGGGTCCTGCCTGTCTGCTGCCGGCCCATATCCATCCAAACATTTCCTATTCATGTACTTACCCAAGTGTCACACAAAAGTTGTAATTGTACCCATGTCTGTTGCCTCCTCAGGATGTTCGTTCCTCACATGAACCACCCTCTGTTAAAAAAAATTGTCCCTCGTATCTTCCTCCAATCTCTCTCCTCTGACCTGAAAAATGTGCCCCCCAGACCTGAAATCCCCCATCCTAGAGAAAAGACACCTACCATTAAGCCCATTCATACCCCTCATGACCTTTCTAAACTACAAGGTCACCTCTCAACCACCCACACTCCAGTGAATAAAGCCCATCCAGGCTCTCTCCATAACTCAAACCCCCCGTTCATGGCAAACCTCCTCTGAACCCTCTCCAGCCCAAGAACATCCTTCCCACAAGTGGGTGACCAAAAGTGGACACAGTAATCCAGAAGATACCCCACCAACATCCCGCAAAATCTTAACCCGACCTCCCTACTCCCACATCCAAAGGACTAAGCAGTGAAGGCAAATATACCAAATGCCTTTTTAACCACCCTGTCTAAATATGACGCAAACTCCAAAGAACTATGTACCCGAACCCCTAGGTCCTTCTGCTCTACAACACCACCTAAGGCCCTGCCACTAATAGTATATGTCTGTTGTACCAAATTGCAACACCTCGCACTTATCCAGACTGAACTCCATCTGCCATTTTTTTCAGCCCATTGACCCATTTGATCAGGATTCCTTTGTAATCTTGGAGAACCTTCTTCACTGTCTACTATGCCACCAAATTTGCTGTTGTCCGCACACAGAGCTGTTCAGGGGGGTTTAGCACGTTCGGAGGTCCAAACTGCTCGCCTAAGAAATAATTCAAATACAGAGGTCAGCTACATAGCTTACCACCTTTCTCTTTTTTTAATCTTTCTTTTGTCTCGTCTGTAAGGATTAAGTGCCCAGCTTGGGATAAAGAGGGATCTGGGGCTATTGTCCAGGTAGCTAGTTAGTGGCTTTTAAGAATTTGTATCTAAAGTTTTAGCAAAGATTTGTAGCTCGGGGTGTGGGTGAGGTTGTTGACTTGATCGCCGAGCTGGCTTGTTTTCGTTCGGACATTTCGTCACCATGCTAGGTGACATCATTAGTGCAGCCTCCGATGAAGCAATATTGTTCTACACCGCTTGGAATTTATACTGTCTGGTCCGTTATGGTGAGTAGCGTCATTTCCCGTTTTGATCTGTGTGGGTTTTTATATGGGGTCGAATTCTAAATGTTTGTCAATTGCATAACAGGTGGAGAACCATGCCTCTAGGAATTCCTGTGCGTGTCTATGTTTGGCTTGGGCTATTGTGGTTACTTTGTCCCGGTTAAAACGATGGCCTTCATTGTCCGAGTGTACTGATATTAAGGAAAGTTTGTCGTGCCGTTTTGCTGCTAGCTGATTTTCATGTAGTCTGATGGCTAGTTTTCTTCCTGTCTGTCCGATGTAGTGTTTGTGGCAGTCGTTGCATGGTAGTTTGTAAACCGCATTGGTTCTACATGTTGTGGGAATGGGGTCTTTAATCCTTGAGTGTTTGTCATAGAGTGGCTGTGGGCTTGTATGCTACCAAGCATGGTGATGAAACATCTGAATGAAAACAAGCCAGCTCGGCGAGCAAGTCAACAACCACAAGAATTTATATCATTGCCATTCCTAGAAATTTGTAAAGTACTTTTTGTTAGTAACACATAATTGTTCCTGTTTTACATAAAACAAATGGTGTCAGATGTATTTGTAATAAGTATAGTTCGGGGGCAGTCTGTTGAGGGACAGGAAAATTGGAAGGAGTTATTGTAATAAGTTCATAAAACTTTCATCACATATGTGCTGTTCTCCACTTTGTGTTTGTGCACGTGGTTGATTCAGTGTCCATGATACAGAAGAAGAGTTCAATTAGTATTCAAGCAAACCTCTGTTTCTCTATCCACAGATGCTGCCAGACCTGCTGAGTTTCTCCAATATTTTCTCTTCAATTTTCAGTTTTCCAGCATCAGTATTTTTTTAAGTCTTTTGAAAGTTCTGCCCCTTTGTGGATTTCTACCATTAGAGAAAATAGCTTCTCTTTATGCAACTTATTGAACATCTTAATAATTTGAAGAAATGAACGTACCATCTTTTAAATTTAGGGGGATTAAGACTACTGGTGGAATCTTATTGGAGTCTGAGTGATGTGTACGATGGTGAGTGTGTGGCAGAATTGATTGACAAGGCCTATCTCAATATCGAGATCATCTTGCTCCATCTTTTTTGGATTTCACAAGCACTGACAACTCTCATTAGGTAGCAGTGAGATATCAGTTGATGGCCATTAACACTTGTTAAACACCTTGTTAATGGCACTAATCACCTCATTAATATTCAAACTCCCACCTTACCAAACATGCTCGATGTTGGGAAAACTTGACAAGGAAGCCAGTGTGGGTACCTGGCAAGTTTAGGAACCCTCTTGCTCCAAACAACCACTGTGTTGGAACATCTCAGGGCATGCTACATTGGTATTGGCCCCACACACTCCACTTCCATGGACATTGGTATCCAACATGTGTGAGCCTCTAAGAATCTTCATGGCACATCCTTGAATCACTTACAGGATGCTTCTGCACTTCAGTGCTACACTTTGGGCTACACTGGCAATTCTCATTGTCATGCTGCAGCAAAGTCACTGTGCACTAAGGGGCACACACCCAGCTCTTTGATTAGACCAGGCTGCATCTATGGGATCTTCACTTGTTCTGTCAGCACTCACTCACTCTGATCCTTCCTTGCCTTTTTGCACAGTAACCTTTCAGTCAGAGATATCAGGCTAATATTATAGAATCACAGAATTTTGTAGTACAGCTGGAAGCCATTTGGCCTGTCATATCTGTACAGCTTCCGAAAGAGCTATCCAGCTGGTCCCATCCTCTAACCTGATCTCCATATCTCTTTAAATTCATCACTTTTCAAATATATATCAAGCTCTCTTTGGAAACCTCATATGGAATCTGCCTTTACTGCTCTCCCAGGCAGCGCATTCCAAATCTTAACAACTCTAAGTAAAGGAGTGACCCCTTGTTACTGGCATACCAACCAATAGAAACAGAATATCCTTCTTTACTCCGTCAAAATTGTTCACAATTTTGAATCTCAGTAAGGTCACTTAAGCTTCTCTGCTCCAAGGAGAATAAGCCCAATTTAGAAGGTAGAACAATACAGCACAAGAACAGGCCCTTTGGCCCACCATGTCTGCGCTGACCATGATGTCATTCTAAACTAATCCCATCTACCTGGTAGGTCTCTCTCCATTTTTTGACTGTTCATGTGTCTGCCTAAATTTCTGTCTTTTAAATGTTGCTGTCGTATCTGTTTCTACCACCTCCCCTGGCAGTGTGATCAAGGAGCCTACCACCCTCTGCGTATAAAACATTCCTTGCACGTCATCTTTAAACTTTCCCTAGTCACCGTAGACTTATGCCCCCTAGTATTCCACCCTGGGGAGAAAGACCCCAACTATCCACCCTATCCATGCACCTCATAATTTGGTATATTTCTATCAGATTGTCCCTCAGCCTCTGACACTGTAGCAAAAACAATTCCAGTTCCTCCATCCTCTCCTTATAATTAATACACTCCATTCGAGGCAACATCTTGGTAAACCTCTTTTGCTCCCTCTCCGAAGCCTCCACA